TCATCATGTTAGATGGAACAATAGTGATCATTTTATGCATACCTCTTAGAGCATCTCAAAAGGGAGTTGCGATTAATTGAATATTTTATTATAGATCTCATATTTGAGTGACTTAAAAGTAGAGAAAATTGCTTAAAATTGCAAGAAAGTTGTTTATATAAACAACTCTAACTAAGTTTTAAGCAATTTAGCTATGATATCCATAATAAAATATTCAATTTTATTTCTAAGTAACTCTTGTTAAAAACTCATTTCAGAGAAGTTCTTATCATTTACCAAAATCCTTTAATCAATTTATTCCTATCGATAATGAAAATATTTGTATAATTATAATAAGAATAAAAGAAATTAAAATTAAATAACATTTCTTCTTCTTTTATATATTTTGTATAAAAAATAATAATGTAAATTACTCTTATATATGAAATATCTTTATTTCACATGACACCCTATTAAAAAAATGTCATATTAGATAAATATAAATACATATATATATATATATATATATATATATATATATATATATATATATATATATATATATACACCTATATATACATATTTAGACTTTACATTTTACCACGATAAACTTTTATGATATCATAATTATGATCCATTTTTAATTAGTGAAGTTTTTTCCTTATTTGATTAGAGTATTTAATCATTTATTATGTGATTGAGATTAATACTTTATGTTTTTATTTTTTTATTGAAATTGAAATCATGGTTGTTTTTAGAATATCGATAATGCATTAATGTCTCCATTAAATTTGTTGTAACAAAACCTCTAAGAAAGAATATGAAGCTTTATAGTTTCTATTAAAGGTAAGGTTAAGCAAGATGAATTATTAAGAGGGAATAGTAGTAAAACTTAAACTATCTAAATAATATTTTTTTCTCATCAAAATTAGAATGCAATGCAATTGTGAAGTATATCATTTTGCATCGTAATAAGTGAAAAACATATTCAACGGAACTACATTCTTGGATAAAAAGTCATTGGAGGACTTCGAAAGATAAGCGAGAGAGTGAGTAAAAAATCCAAACTCTACTAGAGAAGGTCTTAAACATACAAGGAAAAAAATAATACAAAAAAGTCATATACGATTAGTTAATCTCAAAAAAAATATTTAAATTTCTTGAAAGATAAATTTATGTTAAGATATACTATAACGAACATAAATTTACATTGAATATATATTGTTTAACATAAAATTATATCGATTAGTTATTATTATATAAGTTTATACATCTTATATTAAAGTTCCATATTAGTCAAATATAAAAGACTTCTTATGTATACTACCAAGCTTTTGAAAGTTAAAATTTATTCCTTGAAGTTTATTATTTTTCTTTTATCAATTACTGGAACAAATTTGGTGTTAGGTGGTGCTAGGCTAAGAACTTTTGGTCCTCACATACTTGACATACGTTACAATTTAGCTTTGAAATTTTATTTTAAAAATCATTTCATCCCATTAAAATGTATGGTGAGAGATTGAACATCCGTACTCGAGTACAATTTGGAGATAACTTACTTCAGTATAATTTTCTCACCTAAAAAAAATACAAAATTTGAACTTTTTATTTGATATTCCCTAAAATTAATAGTTTAATCATGTTGCATGAAAGAAATATTATGCTAAGTACAGACTCATTTTCTCAACATTAAAAGGACTATATAAGTTTTATAGGAAATAAAAAGAAAACCTATGAAGGAAATATTAAGCTAAGTACAATGTCATTTTCTCAATATTAGAAGGACTATATAAATTTCATAGGACATTAAAAAAAAAAAACGTAAAAATTTGGCCCATGCAGGTTTCGAACCTGCGACATTCGCGTTATTAGCACGACGCTCTAACCAACTGAGCTAATGGGCCACATGTTTAAAAATTTCGAGAGTAAATTATTTAGCCGTGAATGTTTATAATTATATTTAGACATGCTTTTAACAATAAAAGTGGTTATGATAATCCATTAAAACTCGGTGTATTGAACCCATGCATAATTTGATTTTCAAAGTGTAAGAAAATTCAATTTTATTTTAATGTTATTTTTATATGGGTGCCTAAAAGTTTGTTTAATTAATGTGATTCCTTTTATAAATTTTAAGTTGTCTTAAAAAAAGTGTTACATAATATTAACATGATCATACTTGCTAATGTGATATTGATATGTATATGATGTAGTACGTCAATATATCGACTATATAAAAAATATATTATATGATTAACAAAGTTAGACAACTTAATGAACTTGATAGAAAGAACTAAATTAATTCATTTTAAAAATGAAATCAAATTTACTTTAAAATAATAATAGATGAAATTAAAATTCTTTTTAAGAAAATAATAAAACAAAACTGAAAAAAAAATAGTGAAAAAAAAACCATTTAGCATTTTCTATCGTAAAAATTAATATGTCGAAATGGGAAAACAATTTCCTTAAATTTTTTTTATATCATCTTAGAAGTCATAACCATCTTTAACATTATCTATTTAGTAATGAATTTGGTATATAGGTTGAATATAAACCTATATGTGGATTGCGTTGAAACATTTTTTAATTCTTTAACAAGTGACATTAATATTTATATTAAATTTATTTGATTATTTATACCATTTAGAGTGTATTTTGGATAAATTTAGCCACACTCATAACCTAATCCAATAATAAAAAAATTATTCGATTGAATTGAATTGGATTTCTGAAACTTTTTTAGTCCATTTAACCTAACCAATCATTAATCGGGTTAGATTGGATTATTAACATTTTAATTTAAAAACATTATTTTTAATTTTGTTAAGATAACTATTTTAAAAATAATAATATTATTTAAAAATTGAATAATTTGGTAATTTAATATTTTAAAATAATATATTTAATTAGTATGATAATTAAATAATATTAATACTATTTAGTAATTTTAATCATGAGTTGAATCTTGAATGTAGAAAATCAATCCGTCAATCCATAGAAAATTGCGCCATATGAAGTTACATTAAATTTGACTCAAATCAGAAATAAAATTTAATTAAGCAACTTTATTTAACTTAGTTCTGGTTGTTGGATTATCCATTCCAATTAACACTCTTAACACCATTATATAAAAATGTTATATTTTTTATAATTAATTTTGGTGCAATTTTGTAATTAAATAGTTTTATGTTTTATTAAATTAAAATGGACTTGAGCTAATTGGGCCATAATTTTTCTCAGACCCCATACTTAACTTAAACCTCATTTTACCTTTACACATTATAATGAGTGAGAAAATTGAAATTTTTTTAAAAAACATGCTCCGGATAGTATTTTTTAGAATATATTTATAGAATTGATTTTTTAAAAATGCATTCTGGATTGGTGGATTCGAATACATTTTCAGAAAATCAATTTTAGAAATATATCACGAAATACACTTTTTAGAATGTATATTTGGAATTGATTTTTCGAAAATGCATTTTAGAAAGTGTGTTTCAGAATATATTTCTGGAATTAATTTTATAAAAATGTATTATGGAAAGTGTGTTCTGGAATATATTTTTGGAATTGTTTTTCTGCAAGATGCAATCCGGATCCATCTTTTCAAAATTGATTTTCAAAAATGTATCCCACCTCCCACAACAATATTTCAGAATACCTTTCTGAAAAAACCAATAAGAAAATATATTATAGATTGTGTGTGCCGGAATTCAACCTAATTTTTGTGATACTGTTTTAGATGAAGCAATTTGGGTCTATTTATGTAATTTGAGTACATGAGCATATAATTCATACATAATATTTATTATTACGTACCTTTAATTGTTAGAAAATATCTTTAATAAAGATGATAATTCAACAAAATCAAATAATCAAAAGATGAAATTGTAGAAATTGTACACAAATAAAATAAAAAGAAGTTAAGATAAAAAATAAAATTATGAAAAATATATTTTAGATATTTAACTTGGAATTATTGGTGGGTCATAGAGCCCTATTGGGTTGTATTTATATTAATCATGCACACAAAAGATGCACAATTTAGTAGAAAATAACTTCTAAGTGATGTATTTTTTATCACTTTAATTTATAAATCACTAAAATACTTTATGTTTAAAGATATCCAATATATTTGTTTTTAATTTTATATAAAATTGATCTTTTAATTTTATAACATATAAAATTGAAATCTTTAAATACGTTGACACATCCAAATAATTAAGTAAAGATCTGTTATTCATAATAATATCAATAACGAATTAAAATATATATTTATATTTATTATTGTTAAAATTTTAATATAAAATTAATTAGTAAAATGTAGAGTAGAATACCAAGTATTTAAACCAAACTTGATGTGAGTTCAGATATTTTAAGGACAATTTTTTATTTTAAGAGAAACAACAAAATGTATTTTTCACCCATCATCATCATCATAATAATAATAATAATAATAATAATAATAATAATAATAATAATAATAATAATAATAATAATAATAGTAATAGGAATAGGAAAGAAGTTAAGTTTTGATTTTAGTATTAATATAAAAATCAATTGGTAATAAACGGTGTAAGATGTTTTTAAATCAAACATGACGTGAAACCTCCAACCATTATATAAAATAAATAAATAAAAAATAATTGAAATGATATTTTTAACCCCTATCCTAATTTATTTGCGAGGTCAACTCGTTCCACCAAAGTATAAATTATCACGTGGAGTAGTTTTTTTAAAAGCTCTCGTGAAATTGTGATGCAATTTCCATAATATTAATATGTTAACAAACAATTAATATTAATAATATTTTTTCCTTTACATACTATAAAAAAATGCTTAAAGTAAATTCTATATTTTTTATTTATTAAAAAAAAGCATGAACGAAATCTTCAGCATTATTAACATTTTATTATTACATATTTACTTTGAAAATGAAGAAGAAAAAAAAAAAATTTAAATAAGGCGGTGTTTGCTTCTTGTTGTTGGTCCGAGTTTTTGATTTTGGAATTGCAACGATGGGAAACACGTTCTGTTTGTTCTGTGGATGCGTCGCTCAATCGAGCGTCGGCGTCGTGGAACAGTGGGGTCGCTTCCACCGCCTCGCGCAACCCGGTTTCCACTTTTTCAACCCGCTCGCCGGCGAATGCCTCGCCGGAATACTCTCTACCAGAATCTCCTCCCTCGATGTCCGCATCGAGACCAAAACCAAGGTCCTTAGTCAGTTGCGTTTCAATTCCCAATTTGTTTTTAATATTTTTAATATTTTGTCAGATTTTATATCGTAATCATGTGCTTTTTTTAAATTTTGTTACCATGGAGTGTGATTTTTAGTTGGTGTCGATTGTGAGCCAATAATGATTATGGAGAAAAGAGGAATAGTGAGTGATTTGTAATCTTGAATTGTTGTGCAGGACAATGTGTTTGTGCAGTTGCTATGTTCAATTCAGTACCGAGTGATTAAGGAAAACGCGGATGATGCTTTCTATGAGTTGCAGAACCCTCAGGAACAGATCCAAGCTTATGTTTTCGATGGTTGTGTTTGTTAATGGTTCTTCTTCTTTTGCACAATTGTGTGGATTTTTATTTCTTGTTTTAATATGTGTTGTGATTTTTGGTTGGTGGTTCAGTGACACGTGCAATTGTTCCAAGAATGAACTTGGATGAGCTATTTGAACAGAAGGGTGAGGTTGCGAAAGCTGTCTTGGAGGAACTTGAAAAGGTAACTTCTCTTTTGTAAGTTTTAGGTTATGTATGGATAAACATTTTCGTAAAAACAAGAATGCGGAATGCTTTGAACTTCTCTGTAAGCTGAATTCAACTGATGCATCCTAACATTTGCACAAATTAAATGAAAAGAGCTTTTATACAAATTTAGTGGATATATTGATTTTAGCTTATGCGAAAAGCTCAATTCATTTTTTTTCCTTTTATTTTCTTATGGAGAAGTTTATCGGGTCTTGATAAATTGAGAGAAGAGTCACTTTGGTCTTTATGCATATATAACTTGTAAATATAGAAATAATAAGTTAGTACGTATCAAATTCGTCTATATGTTCATGGCTATTCTATTGACAAAGTGAGTGAGTGACTTTTTTGTTGTCTTTTCCATTGCAAAGGAGAAATTAAACAATGTTAATCAGTGGATCAGTAATTGACAGAAAGCATAGGTGACCAAGTTGAGAGAAGGAAGTAGGTGGGAATAATTTGTTCCAAATGTTGACAGACACATGTCCTGCCTGGACATTGTTTTAGTATGTAGTAATTAAATAGAATAAGTAAAATGAATTTCTGGCCATCTACACTGAAGTATGTGAGAGCTGGCAAGTGAAGAGAACCTTAGTTGTTTGCGAGATGTCGAATTATTTCTGTTCCTTCAAAAACTAAAGTTTGTTGGTGGCGTAAATGAAACTAAGAAAGAGTTTACGTTGAAGCGTATGTTTTGAAATATGATAACTTCGTAAGATTTTGCTGTGCAATTTCACTGATGCTAGTTTGATTATTTTTCTGAACAACATTGGTCTTTATCTCCTGAATTTCATGTATCAGGTGATGGGAGAATATGGGTATAATATAGAGCACATACTCATGGTTGATATTATACCTGATCCTTCTGTGCGTAGGGCAATGAATGAGATCAATGCAGGTAATAACACTTATTTTTTATATTTTTATTTTCATGGCAATAATGTGAAGCAGTAATATGTATCTATGCATATCATAGTTTCCTTCTGCGAAAATACTCCTCTTAGGTGGGTTAGTCTCTAAAATGAGCAAATATTATAAAAGTGTATTTACCCTTGAATAGGGCTGTGTAGATAGATGGAAAAAGATTATTAAAATGAAAATGTTAAATTGAACATTGATGGAATATACTTCCATTTCATTGTTTGGAGATGATATGAAATATATTTCACTAGTTTTCGTTATGTTTCATCTTTGTTTTATCAATTCAAACAACGGAGCATAATACCATTATATTCTTTTCCATCCTTTTCCACCAAACATTAGTAGGTTAATTAAGATTATTGTACGCTCAAAATTGTATGCCATAGTATTAAGGGAGGATTGGTTTTATTTGACAGCTCAAAGGATGCAGCTTGCTAGTGAGTACAAAGGAGAAGCTGAAAAGATATTGCTAGTAAAAAAAGCAGAGGCTGAAGCGCAAGCCAAGTACTTGGGTGGGGTTGGTGTAGCTAGGCAGAGGCAAGCTATCACAGATGGCTTGAGAGAGAACATCCTGAATTTCTCTCACAAAGTAGAAGGCACTAATGCTAAGGAGGTGATGGATCTTATCATGATAACTCAGTACTTTGACACAATCAAAGACCTTGGGAACTCATCAAAGAATACCACTGTTTTTATACCCCATGGACCTGGCCACGTTAGGGATATTGGAGAGCAGATACGCAATGGACTGATGGAAGCAGCCAGTGCTCAAGTAAATGTGGAGGAGTGATTTTGTAGTATTGCCTTCGAAAGTATAGCCCTTTACAGTCACACACACACAGTCGAATTATACCGGTATTACGCGTGTATGTAATAAGTTTGTGCTTACTTTTGTGGAATAAAAGGTTTTGGTCTGTTGCAGGTTGTAAAATAAGATGTTTCTCAATCGTATTATGTATTCTTTGCAATCATGTTATATTTTAGAATTTCAAAAGGTGATATTTATAGGAATTAAAAAGAAATAGTTTTTGTCCTTCCTTATTGTCATTTTGATCTATCAACATATTAGTATAATCACTCGAGCCTGGTTCAACAATTGAACTAATATGATTAATGGATTGTATTTTCAGCTACAATTTTTTTTTTTTATTTTAAGGATTAATTGATAACTTTGTTTATTTTCAAATATCAAATGACATTTCCTGGAATATATATATGTTAGCATGTACACAAACTCGAGTAATGTGTTGCCCAACGGTGTTAAGAATAGAATGTGTTGTGCAAGGATATTATCCCTTAATAAAACAGTAGCTTTCTAACAAAATTTTCAACAACTAACCTTCAGGAATTTTCAATGTCCTACTCTATTTAAACGTCATTGAAACAATCTTAACCAAATCCCAAACGTAGCTCCCAACATCTACATTTATTTTGTCCAAAATTCTTAGTTGCTCGCTCTCGAGTCTGTAACATGTTCAGCTTAAAGTTTCATACAGAACTAAGTGTACAAAACTTTACTAATCTCACATAAATGTTGCTCAATACAACCACAAAGTTATGATAAAACTGAATATAAGGAAATAACCTCAAAGAAAAGCTATTGGAACATATCCAAATATAAAATATATTTTTTTTTCGAAAAAATGAGATCCATACAAGATGGGAGACCTATACAAAAAATTGACTCCTCTACGATTGTGCTTTACCTGTTCCAACATGAACAAACTTGAGCTAGCATAATCAAGCTATTGTTTCTTCAGTACGTGTATAGTGTATATAATAGAAACCGAATTGTACAGACCTCAGGTAATTTCCATTATATGAAGCTGTAAAGAATTGACAGCACCGTGATAAAGGGTATATTCTTCAAGAAATAGACAAAAGCCCAAAAAGCATGAGCACCCTTTATTAAACCAATTGCCTAACTGTTCTATGCAAATAATGCTCATAGAAGGCCATTCTTCCTTCTTTGATCTTTTCTTTCTTTTAGTTGGATGTAATAATGGAGCTAATCATATGCACAACATTATCGTTTCCGCTAGCTAAAAAGCCTCTCATAAAATGCATATCATTAGCTAGCCAACTCAATATGTGAATGAGTTTGCCATAAACAAAAAATGCTCCTTTGTGTCAAAGGTGGGCAAAAATAGGGAAACCAGATGGATGAAGCTTATTTGACATATGTAGCTGCTTCCTTATCTACCAGTAGTCTTTGCATGAACAGATTCCATCTTTGAAGTGGTGATACCTAGTCCTGTCTCGTACTATAATTACACGGTCATAAACTTTGGAGATGAACTTTGTTGCTTGGTGGCAATCCCCACAAACCCTTAAATTCTTTACAATGCGAATTGGAGTTCCATATGATGTGTTCATCAATCCAAAAGCAATAGCCAACTTCTCGCTGTGAACAGACAGAGCAGTCTCTTTATCTTCCTCATCATCAAGATCATGCAAAAGTTCCCCTAACTCTGGAACATACCCAGCACTTTTCAACTTGATTGTCATCTCATCCAAAAATGAATAAATCTCCTTACTTTGAGGATGGGATCGATCTCCAACAAGGAACTGATGGAATGTCCCCTTCAATTCAATTGAGCTGCAACCAGGAATCTTTTTTTTATCATTACTGAGTTCATTCTTTTCTCTCAGCATTCTTGCTTCATTCCATCTCCCAGATGTTGAATATAAATTACTCAATAGAACATGACACCCTATATGGTTAGGATCCATGTCTTTAATGATCCTTCCTACTCTATATCCTCGCTCCATGTCTTTGTAGATTCTACAAGCATTCAAAAGTGCTCCCCAGATTGCAACATCTGGAGCCATTGGCATACTTGAAATCATGTCTTCAGCCTCTTTCAGGAGACCAGAACGACTAAGTAGATCTACCATGCATCCATAATGCTCTATTTCTGGGGTAATACCATAATCACAAACCATCAATCTGAAATATAATTTCCCCTCCTCGACCATATAACCATGGCTACAAGCATTCAATAAGGCAACGAATGTGACTTTATTAGGAGAAACGTTTTTAACCTTCATTTGTTCAAAGACATTTATGGCCTCGTTGGGTTTTCCATGCATTGCGAACCCACCAATCATGGCATTCCATGGCCAAACTTTTTGTTTTACCTTGTGCTCATAGAAAACTTTGAATGCTGATTCTATTTCCCCACACTTTGCATACATGTCAATGATGCTGGCTAGAACCTTTTCATTCATTTTAATCTCGCCTCTCCCAATGTAAGAGTGTATCCACTTTCCTTGATCCAATGCTACTAGATTTGAACAAGCGGCAAGAGCACTTACAAGGGTATATTCATTTGGCCTGGGACCTATTTGCAACATCTCGTGGAAAAAATCCAAAGCCTCCATGAAACAACCAACCTATAGTAAGCATGAAGTAACTTTAGACACAGCACATTAACAATTTAGTCAAATACAACCAATATGACATACTTTCAACCGCGTAGTAGTGAAACGTCCACTTCAAAGGAACAAGGCAATCATGCAAAATGCTAGTATCATTATTTTGTTTACTTTCAAATCCAGCAATACCTGAACATAACCAGCTATTATAGTACTCCATGACACAACATCTCTTTCTGGCATTCCATCAAACAATTCCTTAGCTCGACTCATGTCACCGGATCCAACGTAGGCAGAAATCATGGTGTTCCAAGAATACAAGTCTCTATCCACAGCCCATTGAAATACCTTCCAGCCATCCTCCACAATTCCCCACTTCCCATACATACCAATCAAGGCATTCACAACAAACACATTGTTCTCCAAACCAACTTTCACAGCATGAACGCGAACCTGCTCTCCCTCCTGCAGGCCCAGCCCATTGCCACAGGCACCAAAAGCAAACACAAAGCTATATCGATTCGGAAAAAGGTCCAAATCTCGGGTTAACGAGCGGAAAACCACAAGGGAATTGTGGCAGGAATGAGGTAACAAAGAATGTGCTTTGATCATGGTGTTGTAAATGAACAAGTCTGGATGAGGAATTTGATCAAACAGTTTCTGGGCATAAGAAAGAGAAGCACAGGCAGCAGACTTGAGGAGCTTGTTGGCTGAAACAGGGTGTGAGATTAGAGCTGTGGTTACTAATTGTGCATGGGTCTGCTTAATTTCTTGCATTGACTTGCATGAGTCAATCAAAGAGACAAGTCTACAATAATTTTCAGAATGTAAAGATTTTGCTAAGGTTGAGTAGAACCGAATCATTTTTTTTTTTTTTTTTTTTTTAAGGCATAAACTCAAGCTGATTCTAGTAGCTAGACTTCAACTTAGGAATATGGATAGATAGCCCAAGCCTCTTGTCACAGGCTGGACCCATTACAACTACAGCCCATATATGGCCCGTTAAAAGAAATAATTCAGCATTGTCTTTAAAACTATTATTTTATAACTTTATTTATTATTTTCTAGAGTTTTAAGGTTAAATTGTCTTTTCTCCACAAAATTTTATAGTGTAGTTGAGTTTAATCCTAAATCGTATGCATTTGCCAAACTGGTCTGTGAAATGTGTCTTCTAAAACATTGGCCCAAAGAAAATATTAGCCCAAATAATTGACATGACGACTCTTTCTTCCCGCAACCCATGTAAAGAGAACGAAATATTTTTTTATTAATTTTTATTTAAAATCTAACAGCTTCTTCTTTTTCTATTTATTATCACTAGTTGCAATGAAATTATAGTTAATTTCAATTATTTTAAAAAATAAATTTTAAAAAATAGTACACACAGAGTATATTGTCTTTATATATATATATATATATATATATATATATATATATATATATATATATATATATATATATATATATATATATATGTTAAATTTTTAGGTTTTAATATATTTTTATAGATAAAAAATATATGATATCCTAAATTTTTTCATAATATTTTATTTATGTATTTATATATAAAATAAAATATTAAATATTAATAATATTTATCTTTTAATTATTTAAATTAAAATACTAATAATAATATAATATTATTATTTAAATAATATCTTAAAAACTAAAATATAATAAAAAAATAATATTAAAATTTAAATAAAAAATAATAAAAAATATATTTCTAATATATATTTATAACTAATTACATTAAATGTGATATTATGATATTAAAAGATATTATAGAATATTACAAAAAATATTACATGACATACAAATATTTATCAGAGATTTTAGTTAACATTAATAAAAGATATTTATCTAATAAAATTTGATAAATCAATATTGAAAAAATATAACTATGTAACTGTTTCTAAGTCAAATAAGTTTATGTACAAGTAAAAAATGTTTTTTTATTTAATAATTATGATAAATATTTGTATTTAATATAATTAAAAAATTTGATTTAGTTTTTATATATTATTAATTACTCTATTAAATTTTTAATTATTATTAATAAAAGATAGTTAGAATCCGATGACTCTAGTAATACACATTAATTATTAGTTATGATTTTCTTTGAAGTAATTAAAATAATACAAATATACAATGTCTCTTAATGATGTATATGATATAAAACTAAGTATCTTTTTAACGGCGACGATTGTTAAAATTTTAATTAAAATAAACAAAATGATAAATAAATGGTTATAACTAAAATTCATTGTATATAGAATTATTATATAACTTAAATTTAACACAATTATTAACCTAACCACCAAAAGTACTATTAAAAAGAAAGAAAAGGTTAACTGATGAAGAACACCTTCTGCAACGGTTAAACTTTTTCATCATCAACACTATTCAACCACGCATCTTCATATCAGAATATGAATTATTTTTTTCCGTAAAATCCAAAAGCAATTCCCATTGAAATTCACCACATACTTGGCTTTGTTAAAATCCCTTTGTTAAACCAAAAAGAAACTGTATGAACACGTGTTGGTGAATAAGAATATATAATGACATGGGTTAGAGTAATTTACACTTAACAAAGAAGACTACAGCATATAATATGATATTGCATAACACTGCTATTATAAACCAAAATGATTAACAACCCAATATACCTAATTAAGAATAGGTTAGCAAGCTATTAGGTTTGAAGTGTGGTCCAATGAGATTAGATTTACATGTGTTTTTGCTACGATTCTGAGTACAACAATAATAGGTTTTGGTGGCCAGTTGTAGGAATTGTTTGGGAGTACAGCAGTAATTATGGAAGAAGAGGAATACAAGAAACAAAAGTATATAATAAAGCTTTGTAATAATGATCATACACGATAAGCATTATTAGGTAAGGTAAAATCCAGATTTGATGGCTGCACTAATTTGTTCTCCATCAGAGTAAAGTTCTAACTAAGACGACAAAACTTCATTATTAACATCACATTTTCCTTCTGCTTTTTCTTCTACTTCTTTCAATTCAAAAACATTCAAAATTTTGTTAGCTCTCAACTTCAAACCTCCTAGGGTTTTCATCCCAAAGCATATCATTTATAGCTTTCATTATCTTTGAATTCAGATCTCATGAGAACTTCATCAACTGCTATGGTTAGCTTTCAAGTGTGAATGATTATTTTGGTTGGTCACTTTCTCAAGTAGTGTCTTCTAAATGAGTCATAAAAATCTTGCTGATTGCTGCTATTTTATATATATATATATATATATATATATATATATATATATATATATATATATATATGCTACTCTTCTGAAACTGTTACCTTACCTCTCTCGCTCTTCCCTTTACATTAATTATAAGTCATGTTTATGTATGAGTCTTTGTCTAATGTCTATTGTTAATAATGCTAGGTCCCATCTTAACTTTTAATCAATGAAAACTCTATAAGGGTTTGTGGGTAATAGGCTAATACCATACAATAACAATAATAATAACTATTATTATTATTATTGTTATTGAAATTGTTTTGATGAGTCTCTTGAAATTGGGGCCACATATACAAGAGCCAATTATGCCAGAGATTGGTGGGAAAAACAGTGAAGACAGAATGAGAAAAGAAAGAAATCTCATGCAGAGAAGATTTGTTTGGGCAAAGTTTGTAGGGTCAAGCTTTAAGTGGGAGCTGCAAAAGTAACACACCATGTGATAGAAAATAGCACATAATGGCTTGTACTTAAAGTTTGATGCCTAACAAGTGTATGCAGAAACGTAACAACTGTAGTAAATGTCTAATTTAACATGTCCTATTCCTTGAACCTTAGCTTAATAAGTAGTGCAATAAGCAATGATTATGATGAGAGGAATTGGTTAACTGTCTAATTACAATTAGCAAAGAAGTCATGTAATTCTTCTGATGGTGTTTTTAGGTTTTACTGAGTGTTGAGGTGTGAACTACTGTGTGTCCAACATAGACAAACACCTCTCCACTAACATTTGCAATTTGCATGAATATGATGTCATTGGTGTTTCTTACAAAGTTTTGGTTGAAATTGATACTTGAACTCTTTGAAACCATATAATCAAGGAGAAAACAAAACCAAATAGAATCAAAATATCTAATCCACTTTCATTCTCAGCCTCAGATTTGTGATATTTTCACCTCTGATTTGTTCATAGCTAATGGTTCTTGTTAACACGTGCTGTTGAATTACAGGCAAATCAAGCACCAACCATTAAAGAAAAAGAGGAGAATGAATCTTTTTTACCTAAACAAACACAATACTGGTTTGCCCTTAAAATTGGTCACGTGAGTTGAATCTTTATAAACCTTGCAAGTGCATAAAGGAAAGAACAATGGCCTTTAGAGAGTCCTTAAATAAGAACCCTTTATTAATATTTAGAACATACTTAGCATAGTTACATACTTAGAACACGAACTTAATATCATTAGTTAAATTTAAACAATTTTATATCAATTGGTTTACATATTTAGAAGTCTCAAAAATTATACCATGAAGTTAAAATTAATTGGGTATTCATGAATTCATGATATGAGATCTAAAAGGATCATTCAACATACATACTTCATGTTACTTCAATCCTTCAACTATAAAGAGTTCTTAATTCACATAAACTTGATATTAATTTTATTAACCTTCTTAATATATAAACAATTATATGCTTTGATTTTGCAATGAACATGTGGTAGCAAAAACAATTAAAGTAAAAAGTAATAACGTGAATGAATAGTATCTTTTGTAGTTCAAAGGAACATAAACCAAATATGACATCAAATTTTAAATTTTCAATGTAAACTTCAAATTTGATTCAAGAGTGTAAGGGGGTTTGAATTGGTTTGATTGAAATAATGAAACATGGAATTTTCACATAAAGAAATACTCTTTTGGCAGAAATATATATAGCAAAAGAGAAAAATCCAAGTAAAAAGAAAAACCTAACCTAAACAGAAATATACCTACAAGAATAGGTGTGTCCTCACGTGATCCACAACATGATTTCTCTTTAAATGCAAATTAATTTTCAAATACACCCTACTATTATAACAAAAATAGTATTATTTGTAATTAAACATCCATTATTTAATTATTATGCTAATTTTATTAATATCAATTATTTTGTAATTGAAGTATTGAATTTGGAATGAATATCTTAGTGACCGATTACCCTCACTTTTTGTTGTCCTCTTTCTATGAACTGTGTATAACATTGTTATGATTACCTTGCCCTAAAAAAACAAAGAAGAATATGTGCTTTTCATTATCACAAAAATTGTTTCTACTACGTCTAACACACATTGGAGGACCCCTTGTGTATGGGGTAGGTAGGGCTAGTTGGTATGTTGCAAGCAAAGCCATAGGATCTTGAAACCAATGGTCAAGATTTTGTTATGTGGGGAGATTAATTGATTAATGTGAAATCATTGTTCCACAGTTCACGTTTTAATAGGAGAAGAATTGATTAACTTGTAATCATTGTCATCATCACAATATCCAAATTTTCAAATCTACCAAAATACTACCAAAGGTTAAAGTTTTCATGGTTAGTTAGCTCATTGCCATAAAAAAGACAATCAAGAGAATATCAACTGTGTCTCAAATCACCTTCCAAATATTCCTTCTCAGATTAGGGTTTACACTTTTTTTCTGAGAATAAAAGTGTGTTTGGAAATCAGAATATTAAATCACCCAATCCAAGATGGCAAAAGTTAAACCACTAGTTAGGTTAATTTTTTTGGTGTGTGTGGATGAAGATGAATCATTATTTGTTTACAAGTTTCTATGTTGTTTTTTCTAAAATTTATATTTTTATTTATTTTTCTCTTCATATTGAATGTCTTCGAAGAAAAAAATTAAAACAAAATATTTCACACTTGACAAGAATCATGTTAAAATTCATCTGAAAAATATTGTTACTTCTTGTATTTTATTTTAAAGAGTTTAATTTTTCAAATATAACTAAGTTGATGTAAAAGTTTTACACTTTCAATCGATGAAAAGTAATGATATATAAAAATTAACAAATTTTATATATTATAATATAAAATAATATAAAATATTTTCTTTGTTGTATATTATTATTACTTGTTCTTTCTTGCTCTTCTAGATTTTCTTTTGGGTTTTAGAAATATTTGTTTATCACTTTCAAAATCACTAGATTCATGGCAAGGGAATAACTTTTTGTTAATTCTTTTATTAATGAATCAATAAGCCATGAAAAGATTAATGAATGAAATCATGAGGGCAATGAAGGGTTAAGAATCAAAATGCAAGCTCATAACACAAATTATCAGGTAAAAAGAATGTATCTTCAAATCTAAAACAAAGGGAGGTTTGTTTAGTGGGAAGTAAAAGGTGAGACACTAAAAAGAAAGATTAATCATGGGGGAACATTGAAAGTGTCAAGATTCTTGTAAAAAGATGGCCTTGTCCTATGCCAATCATAACATCCTCCTCTCCTATACAAGAACAACCAGACTGGAATGAAAAATGAAATTATACCATACATCAAGCAAAAGGGAAACAAGTTATATAAATTAAAAGGAAAAAGAGAAATAAAAAAAGGGTCTTTTCCTTTTAGTTGGTCAGCAGTCAGAATTGCTTGCCATTGCCGACATGATCCACTGTCACTACACCAAATTGAGTAGAAAGATAAATCAGTTCTGAAGAAATCAGCAATACAGCACCCTACACTACTAATGAGTTCAGTCAGTCACATAACTTTTTCATTTACAACCTTGTTTGACTTTTGGCCAGTCATTAAGGAGCTACAGAAACTTTCATTATTTCTTCCCTTGAGGTGGGTGGAGACACTTAAATTAAACACATGTATCAATGAAAATTACCAATATGCTCTAATGCAGAAACAGTAAACTCAATATATATTAGTGTGCAATTAGATACACAGTATAAAATGAGTTAAAATTTTTTAGGCTTTGAGAGTGATTCTGTGTAAGAGAAGTAGGCACATGATAAGAAAGGCTGGAGAAAAAGTTAGTAGATAAAGGGGTGGCTATCTTGATGCTAGTTTCAAGCAGCTGTACGTGCAGTAAAAGGACATATTGTGGCATGATTTATTATGGAATGTAGTACTAGAGTCCTCATTCATGAAGCAGCAGTATCTATGAACAGAACCAATCAGAGTTTGAAATAACTTCAGTACAAATTCTGCTCTCTTTGTTATTATCGTTTTAATGAATCTTCAGCTTTTACTTCACTATGCATATAAATTCTGTACTAATACAATAATTGCTCTTCAAATTATCATTATTATTATATAGTACAATCTTATATACAGATAGCAATTTATAGTATGAGCACTTTAAATCATGTATTTTTTTTTTTTCAAATTTTGATTATTTAAATAAGATTTCATGATTTACAGTTAGTTTATTTTCTCATGTTAATTTATGCATTATTTATTTCTTAAATGGATTTAAGCATCTTTGATTTAAATTAAGAATTAATTCCTCTCATTGCACAACTGTTCTATTGTAAAATCTGTAGTTAAGATTAATTTGAATATACATTCTAATCATATTTAGTGGTTCATAATCAATGATATCAAAATATATTCTATTAAGATAAATTTTACCCAACTTAGATTCAGAATTGTATGATTTGCAGAAGTTTTATTTGCACGGAATAGAGAGGCAGAAGTAATGTTAATTATTAACAAAGAAACTGTTGTGCTTGAATCAGGTTGATAGTATCTCAGATTTCAGTTACATAATTTAATGAAATTTATAGAAGTAAACAACAACAAAAAGGGTGTCTATCAGGTGCATGAGTGACACCAAAGGTGAAAAATGATATGGAACTGCATCACCACCAGAACCCTTGAATCACCAAACTTCTGTTCATGGCTCCAATGATCTCCTGAAACATTGAGTCTGCATACTGCAGTAACCATCTCAACATATCATGTACCTTCTCATGCCGACAGGTCTCTCCCTTTTCCATTTTTATGAGGCCACACTCCTTGTTTCAACTTTTTTTTTTCCAAGCCTTTTTAGCAATCATGGCAACTTAAACGGTTAATTCTGCAAAATTCCAATTTTCAACATGGAGATCAACATGGCACACAAGGCCCCATTAACAAATAAATTATCACAAAAATAAATGTTTCAAAGGAAAGTTACCAAAGCTTGTGGGACATCGGCTAAACAAAAACAATAATAATATTCACATAATATATATAGAGAGAGAGACAGTGTGTGGATTGATGTGAAGGAAGGCCACTCATACCTCACTCTCCTTTGACCAAGACACCCTTTGACATGGATATCCACTCTCCATTGTGGGCCTAATAATTTTGTAGTAACAAACACACCAGGAGATTTGCCAGATTATCTACGAGAAAATGCTTCTTCGGATACAAAGATTCTTATCTTCTTCCGAGGTTGACACACGTCAAAACCATGTTGGCTTTGCCACCCTGCTACTGCTTCAAGCCATTCCAACTCTGCACCAAAAAGTAACATTCAAATTTTGGGAACCTCCCAATTTTAGTGTAACATTTGTAGTAACTTAACTCCCCCTATTCATGAGAGCATCTAGTGGCAGGAGTACACATCGCATTATTTGAGATTGCCTCCATCATGAAGAAATATCATAAATTTCATCAGATTTTTTTTGTTATTCATTTGGTATGGTTTTCAGGTAGTGGTTCCCATTTTTGTGATGACCAATCATGCGGTCTCTAGTTGTGGTGAAACATGACTAGGAACAGATGTAGAGATAGCCTCAGCTATGTGTTTCTTCTTTCTAGTTATGAAAATAATATAAATTAAATGTAGAGGTGTGACTAGTGACAATTTTGTGAACTGTTGAGAACAGAAAACGCCAAGACTTGAATCAATTTTCAAAGATGAGGCCAAAAAACGGCCAGATATATGTTTCCACTTTCCTCTAAAGGCAGTCACATGCATCAATAGCCCTATGAAAGAGAGAGACTGAGGAGCAACATATACCGTTAGAATAGAAATGCTGTCCTTACAACTTGGAAGTTGAAATTTGCATGTAAGTGGACTTACTGTGCTCAGTTACTGGCTCACTGGTTTGTAACAGCAATACGGACCTTTATAGTTGATACCGATTGAAAATATAACTGATTCACTGGGTGAAAATTTTCACTTGATAAGATGTAATTGAGAATTCTCTTATTTCTTTGTTACTAGAACACAAAATAAGAGTAGTTGGGATAAGTCCAACAACTATATGGTCCATGCACAAGTGGTTTTAAAAATCAGGAAACATGAAGGGAAACTCTTTATCTTGATAGACCCTACGAGAAACTGAAACTTCTACATCAGGCAGTTTGCAGAAAGCAGTGAGACACCTTTTGTTCTTTGGTCAACTCAGTTTAGAACTAAACTGGAGCATTAAAGTCTTTGGATGTGATGGAAATCAGGTGGTCAAACAGTAGATAATTCATCCTATTCTATTCAATCACACAAATTAGTGTGGCAAGCAGAATCTATAGACTATGTATTATGTTATGGCATATCAAGACATGAACTATCAATTGAGATATATAATCAAAATTCCATGGACTATTTGTAGCGTCCTTTACCCACTCAGGTGAAGAAATCATGTTAGTGACACTCCATGATGTCATATAAACGTTGTTTTCAGTTGAGAAAACAAAAACTTGGTTCCAGATATAGGCTTTCTTCTTGTTTTTTAATAATTTTTCATGCAGACCATAAAATTCAGTTTGCTTTTGAATTTTTAAATATTTTGCATGAGTGCTTTATTTCAATGTCAATAGTAAAAAAAGTGAACCACGGAAGCTTAATAAAGAAATTAATCAAATCCTGAAAACTATTTCCATATGCATGAAAAATGCTTCTAGTCCAGTATTTGACCTACAGAAAGTGAAGCAGAAGAACAAGTAGAAGAGGAATTAGGAATTGAGTTTTTCACACAAGAGGAAGTTTGCAAACAAGGTGTTCCTCATTAAGCTAAACTTTACACATTCATTAATGCAGCGCATCTTTTCAAGTCGTAGATTGATATTAGAATTAGGACTCAATAATCATTCTCATTAGTCACTAGCAAAATTTTTGAGACATGACATTCTTCTTGCTCCTTTCCTGGATTGTTGTTAAGCCGATAAAAGAGCAAGACTTCCTCCTTTACAAACCCTAAAAGTACAAGATAATTACTGGAAAAAAGATTGATGATTCATTAGAATCAAAGCTGATCATAACACAGTCACTAACAACATGCTTTTTTTGGTCCCTTCTAATATTCCTTCTGTTTCAACGCCAAAGTCATGAAAATTTTTCCACAAAATGTAAGGGAATAATAGAAGAGTTGTGGAAAGAATCTGATAAATCCTAAAATTACACAATTCTATAAGAGTTGAAAAAAAGCACATTACACTAAGGGAGCATCAGCATAGACCTCAGCCAGCATGCCATCCTCACTACCAGACATGGCAAACAGCTCTGCATCCTTCTCTTCCTCACTGGAAAAGTCTCTCCTTTCAAGCTTGGCATGAGCTGCAATATATATCATTTTCTGAGCCCTCTCCAAGGCAACTCTTGACTGTTTATTAGCTGAAATTTTCCTCATAAAAGACCAATTACTCTTAAACCCACACGAAGTTGCATGCAGAAAAATAAGTCTCACTGCAATCTTCCCCAGGGATTTAAACTCACTCAAACATGTTTCCCACACAAGTCTACTACTCAGTGGATTTGCAACTTTCATCTTCCCTGTTACTGGATCCCTCTGCTTCATCTGAACAGCCTGTGCATAAAGCGGATCAAGCCCCTCTGACCTCCATTTCATTAGCTCCATCAACACAACATGAGCCTCTTCTCGTGAAGCCAGCCTCGTCAGTAACTTATCCACATCCTTCTCCTGTTCCCGTGTCAAACACTTATACGGAGGAAGATACTTCCCACTTGCATCCTTAATCAAGTAAAGTGGATCAAGTATAAACGCTGCTGCCCACGCAGGGTGATAATTCTTCCTAAACCTCTTATCGACAATCTTCTCCACAGGTCCTTCCACAATGTTGAACTTCCCACACCACTCTTTCACCTTGGTCCTCAGCTCCTCCCAAAGAGGCAAACACCTACCAATCAATGGCCTCTCTGCCTCAACATCTTGCACCATCCCTCTAACAAGCTTCACAAGCGAATAAACCGCCTCCAACTCATTCCAAAGCCCCTCATTCTGCACCATCCCTGCAACCTCCCTCGCCACCGTATCCTCGATACACATCACCTTAAACCCATCCTCCATCACAACCATCTGTATCACTCTGGCACAACTCAAAATGTCCTCCAACATAGGAAACACCAATTCAAAATTCTTCAACGGATCACATTTAGGCGAAGGCATGCGAATCAGCCCACCGCAATCCATCTCCTGCACCCTGCACTTGAGGAAAACACTCCTCACCTGCGACTCATTGTTAATAAAATTCGCAATCTTCAAACAATTCTCAATCACAACCCTGAAAAGTGGCAACTCGCGGTTAAAATCCTTGATCAAGCTAACCAACCCATGAAGCTGGCAGGAAGTGTTGACCATCCAATGGTGCTGCAACTCCAAGTTCCTCAACGCCTTGGCCTTGAACTTGTCTGCCACAATCCCCACACACCTATGGACAACACTCCCGGTAACCGCCGTAACCGTCTCCCACAAAACCTCCTCTGCATACTTAGAATTCTCCACTCCACCTGTGAACACAGCCTTCTGAAACACACTACTCCCATTGGGGAGATTCACCACAAACTTCACCAAACTCTCCCCCCCACCACAGCACACGTTAAAATTAAACAAACCCCCACTCTTCCACCCATCACTTGCCAACTGAAAAAACATGGCGTCCCTAATCCTAGCCTCGGACTCAGCCTTGGCCTCCCCGAACCTAGCATCGAGCCTCCCCCCAGAAACCTCCCTTCTCAAATTGCTGGGCAACCCAACCTGGCTCAAAAAGGCCTGAAACTTTCTATGTTCCAGGCTCGACAAAGACACAGAACCACAAGTCTCATAGAACCAATCAAAGAGCAAGTCCAAAGCAGAATTCACCTGGTCCTTGCTCAAAGCAGGACCAGGAGAAGTCTTGGGACTCTTCAACTTCTTCACACTGTCCTCAAACATGGCTAAAGCACACAAATCATCCTTCCCGCCCGACAACATTAAATGCTGTTGGCCCTGGCCGTGATGCTGCAAGTGCATAATGTTATTATTATTATTATTGTTATTGCTATTGCTGTTGTTGTTGTTACTATTCTGCATCTGGGTGTACCCGATGTCGTAGCGGGAAGACTCCACCATGGCCAAGGAGTGATTTTGATAAGAAGGAGGTGACGTGGCACCCATTTGAGGGGAACCCCTTTTGCGGTTCGAACCGGGAATGATGGAGGAAATGGGGAGGGGAGAAGGGACCGAACCGGGTCTCAAACCGGAGCTGAAGTTGGAGCAAGTTCCACGCTTTAAGTGTTCGGAAGCTGTTCGAGAAGGGTTTGAAGCAGAGAAGAGAGAGTCGCAGAGGGAGCATTTGAGTTTGACTGATTTCGGTAGGCCGGTGTCGGGGTGAGGAACGAGGATGGGCTCGAGGTGGGCCCAGTACCAGGCGCCCTTGCCTTTGATTGCCTTCGTGCGGACAGTTAAGAGGCCCTCGAAGCGTTTGTTGACGGCGCGGACGGCTGCGGCGCCTTCGTCTGAGGGGAGGGGGTCGGTGGAGGTGGATGTTGTGGAGGTCATGGCTTGCAGGTGGAGGGTCAAAAGGGGAGCGTGGATGGAGGTGGTGACGGTGGTTTCACCGTTTTGGTGGGAGTGGGTGTCGCTTTGGGGCATTTAGCCATAAAGGGTTGAAGAATGAAGTGAAGGGTGTACAGAAGGTGTGGAAAGTGATGTAAAGAAAGAGAGTAACTTGACCGAAAAAGGAGTGGGAGGTGCATATAGAGTGGAGCTACTCAACAGGAACCAGAAAATGGAGGAACAGGGAGCAAGAGAGAGAGAGAGAGAAGGGTTAGTCAACCAAATTTGTATTTCCCAACCATAAGGAGGGTATAGTTTTTTCAAAAAACCAAAAACACAACTTTTTTTTTTTTTGTTTATAGATTTCTCCTTCTTTTTCTTCTTCTTCAATGAGGAAAATAGGTATGAAGAAATGGGTTTTCGTTCAACAAGTTGAATTAACAATACTTTGACGATACGAGTTTTTCTTTATTGCTTTAATTACTTTTTATTCTCTTCTATTTTAAAATTTACATTTTTTTTCTAGAGAAATAAATGTGTTAAGTTACATTTTCCTTTTTTAATACCATGTTTTTTATATGGTAGAGCATAAAATGTTAAACAAGTAGTTAATAGCTTGAATTGTGATGTTTTAATTATAATTTTTATTTTAAAATATACATTATAAATGTAAGTTAAGTTAGACTCGTGAGATGATAAAATGTACATTTTATGTTTTAATTGTGAGATTGTTAATTATTTTTGTATTGTTTTATTTACAAATATACCCTATTGTTGTTGGAAATATAAATGCGAGTTGTAATTGTTTTAAAAAAACTGAATTAAAATAATATGTTTGTCCCTTTAGATTTTAAAAGAGTATTTTTGAGATGTTCATGTAAATGAAACCTATTAAGAGAAAATAGAGGACACAAATAATTATACTGAAATTTACTGTTAAAATATAAATATAGATTCGTTTTTTCAGTTTTTTTATTTACTTTATTATTCTTCATTTCTTACGTCACATAAAACTATTGATTACTATGTTATTTGAGTGGAGTTAAAAAAAAACATAATTGTAACTCTATCCATAATATATTGCACTTTAATTCATTTAAAAAAAATAAACCGAACATAAAAAATTATTATTGTTGTTATCATTATTATTAATAATAATAAATACATTTAAATTTATTATTTATATAACATGATCTTGAAAATTGATTCTTTTGTAGGATAAAAGATTCAATCAAATAATTATCTTAATCTTTTAAAATTAATTTTTTGTTTTCAGAAAAGCAATTTCTTAAGATGTGTTAATAATTTTTAAATAAAACATTTGTCATAAACTATTTTTTTTACACAATTTATTGTTTTAGTTTTAAAAAGATATTAACAAAAGGTTAAAAATATCATTTTCACCAAAAATAAAAAAGGGGCTTAATTGTTATATGTTCTAGACTGAATACTTAAATAAATTGAAAAATGCACTTTTGATTGAACAAAAAGAAGCAAACAAAGGTCTGAAACATTTTGATGATAAATGAGGAATAAACTAAAATCCAAGAAAGAAGAAGAAGAAGTTGATGGCATTGATATGGTGATTTTGACTGGTTTTATCAATGGAGGAGACCTTAGTCTCCATTTCAACAGGATCCTCGAGTAACATCCCAACAACATTTCCATGGTTCATAGCTTTTCTCAAATCACTTTCTCCCTAACAAAAAGAAAAGCTCTTAAAAATTTAGGGTTCATAACTTCAATTATTAAGCTACTTGTTTTTACTTTTGTCGTCTTCTTATTTGATTTGTTCCTTGATTGCCTCTCTAATTACGCTCCTCTATCAATCACTGAAATTAACTTTTGCATAAAGGATAAAAAAAATCGTTTCCATTAAAAAAAAACACTTTTTTCTTGTAAATTTGTTATTCTACCATATTTTAGTTTAGTGTAAAATATAATCATAATGTTTCACAACACAATATAATAATTATGTGAAAAAGTATGTTTTTTTTATTATTAAAATGGTTATTTAATGTCATTAGATTCCCATAATCTAGGGTTTTTCAAATCAAATAGTCACATTAATTGTGTAATAAAAAATATATAAACATATTTTACCATGCATAATTACATCAATTTTTTTTACACTTTAGAAAAAAATCTATGGAAAAAGACACGTTTATATGATTTATTATTATTATTATATATGTATGTATTAAACAAATATATAATAAATATAAATAAAAAATTTAAAAATCAATTTATTTTAAACCAAAAAAATTAGTGGAGATTAAATATCACTTGTATTATTGATAAAAGATGTGTTAACATATTAATTAAAAATATAATTAATTTCATAAAATATAAATAGAATGTAAATCTTACATATAAGTCGTACTATTCTTAAAAATAATATATTATTAATAAATAATAAATAAATATAAAAAATACGAAAAAAAATTATAAATTAAGTCAGACACCTTTTATTTATAATATAATCAAAGTCAATAATTAAAAATTATATTAAAATATTTAGATTTATTATCCATAAAATGTTATTATATATTGAAGTTTTTATAATAAATAATCATTATATTATTTATTAATTATACTTAACATGAATCACTTATTATCCACTCATTAATTATTAATTATCCCAACTTTGACTTAAACATCTACCAATAATATATAACAAAATTAATGATTCAAATTAAAATATAAATATACTTTTGATATAAAATATGAATTACAAACCAGACTAACACATTTCATAATATGATTGAATCATAAAATATACAATTCGTATCGCATAATTAATTTCAAAACTTAGATAATAATAAGCAGCATGCATTTGTTACTTTTGATAAGCTTTTTTATAAAAAGAAAATGATTATCCGACAATAGGAAAGAGAATTGAAGTGAGCTTTCCAACTATTATAAGTGAATTATTATTAAAATAATGTAACTGGTCATTACAAAAATGCATCTAAAATTTAGGACTCTCTCTAGCTATACTATACCTCGTGAAACACACACAAATAAAATAACTCTATTTATGTTTCTCACATAATTAATATAATGAGAAAATGCAACATTTTATAAATTAACTTTGTCTTATTAATAAAACTTAATCATATGATCTAACTAGAACACGTCAAAGAAGAAAAAAAAGTGATGTTGGAAATCACCATTGAAAGTGTTAAATATAAGATGAACATATCTTTATTTTAATATTTATGATTATTCAGTAAGTTAATAAATCTACTTATTTAGAATCGAGATTAATTTATACGTATTTTTTTAATCAATTAAGATATTTTTAATAATAAAATCATGATAAACAAAAACTTCGGAATTTATTAATTTATGAGTGTATCATAAAGTTATAAAAGTCTAAACCAATCTCTTAAGACAAAATAAGTGTAGGAAAAGAATAATAGATAAAAAAAGAAATTTATTTATTATCTAGGAAACTATTATAGGATCATCTATTTTATAAATTTTTATTTCATTTATAATTTTTTTATTAATAATTAAAAAAAATACATTAATAAAAATAAACTGTAAATAAAAATTTCTATATCATATATATGAATTGTTGAAAAAATAACATTGTAGGCATCAATATAAAAAAAAAAGTATTTGACATGCCAAGACATAAAGATTATTTTTTTCTTCTTTTTATATAAGATTCTATCTAATTTTATTGAAAGAAATGACATTTTTTTAAAATTTAAATTTCATCTTTATCAAAATTGTATCAATAGGTACAAATACAATTCAACCATCAATAAATAACAGTATTAATAATTAGAAAATGTGGAGTTATATTAAAATTATATCAATAGGTACAAATACATCTCATTCAATTAATACATTATGAATAAATTTATTTCAAAATTAATTCACATTTTAACTATAATCATACTAAAAAAATTAGTATTTGTCTATTTTTATTTTTCAACGTGTATAATTTTACTTAAATATTTAAAAGGTAGTATAGATGAGGATACGATTGACTCTTTTATAATTATTATTTTTATATCGTTCTCCTATTTTTATTAATGCATATTTATAACTAAGATTTAATGGATCTAATATATTAAAAAAAACCATTTCCTTAATATATTTTTTTAATTTTGTTTTACTATAAATTTTTGTTGTAAGCATATCGGTCTTTAAAAGTCATTGAGTTAAATGTAATTTTACCGGTAAAATTTGTAAGTTAGTTTTAAAATTTTCACTATTTTTGCAATTGTACGTTATATTAATATTGTGAGTTCTTACATTAGTGTCATATTGGAAAGAAAAACACATTCAATTTTTTTAATGATAAATCTCATTATAAGATATTGACTAACCTTAAAAATTGACACATAGAATTTTAAAATTAATTTTTATTATTATTTTGTATATCTTGAAAGTTTTTTACAATAACTCGATTTCCATGCTGAAGATTTTGACACTTCTTCTAATGCAATCTATGTTGAAGATCCACCAACATTGAACATAACCATTTTTATTATCAAAACTAAAATTATTTAATTAAATAATAATAATAATATTTTATTATTATGGTACAAATGCTACACTTGCTTTTTTATTATTATTGTGAAAGGTTAAGGCGTTGATATTCTTTTATAACTATATATCATTTAATAAAATGATTTTGAATAAATTATGATTAAACTTAGATATCTTCTCCAGTAGTTAATAGTTAATTATTATTTTATTTTATTTGTCGTTAATTATTTTTAGTAGGATAATTATCCATCATATATGTGAACTAATTAATTTTAAAAAAAATTAAGAGATAAAAACTTGTTATTATCGTAATATTTAGTAGAAAGGTGGTTTTGTATGTAAATATTTTAATATAAATATTATTTTAGTATAAATTTTACCTAATGAATATTTTTTATCGATTTTAAATATTTATGTGTGTGAAATTTATATTAAAATAAAATTTGTTATCTATAAGAATTTTTTAAATAATTATCCTTAAAGATGCTTCTATTATTAATAAAATAATATATATTTTTAACTAGAAGGTTAAATTTTTAGATTTTTCAAAACTTAAGAAGGTTATTTTTATTCTTGTTCTTCCTCGT